ATTAGCCATAGCCAATTATCGCCCAGCGCGAAACTCACATTCTCGTCAATAAATTCGTTGAACATTGCTATCTCACGTGTCTCATCATAACGGACCATTTTGCCATTCGCTGACTCTATCTCCGCAGACGGGGTGAGAGATGGGAGAGATTGAACGATTTTGTCAAAGAGCGACCGAACTTCTGTTCGATCGCACGTATACACCGCATATAATTCGTTTGAGTTATTCATTTTCATGTTCTTCGCGGGCTTTATTGCTATCAGAGGACTAGTATCTAGCAGGGGCGGGGTTCCATGGCCTTTTAAACCTAATGACTTTGTGCTTGCCCCACCGAATATTCGCACATCATTGGCCGCGTGACTTGGAATTGGGCCTCAGCTAAAGCCTAAGGAGATTGTCTGTCTATCAGCACCATCCCAGCAGTAGCTGGAATCGCAGTTGACATACTTGCAAACGCAAAATATAATGCGTCATGCTCTGATAGTGATGTGGCCGGCGAGGGCATTGAGTCTGTGGATTCGCACGTGCACGATAGTCCATCACTGTCTCCGCTGTCTTGATCCGCCAACGAGCAACGCAGGCCCTGTAGCTCAGACAACAAAGCCGCCAGCTGGGAAGCACTTAGTCCATCGCCATAGCGTCGTGAGGTTGCCTCTTCAGTGTCATTCTCTGTGATACCTTGTAACATTCAGCCAGATAGTTTTGATAAAATATTGAGGGCCTCATACTTCGTGGTGTTTCTGGAGAGATGCTGCCCTCCGGGGTAGCAGCAACATTGGCTTTGTCATGCTCTTGCTCGCAATGGACCGCGCCCCTCTCACCATTATTTTCCGTGTGTGGAGGGGAGAGCGAAGCATCCGACAGTTCACCACAGGATTGCCATCTTTGTCCGCGATAGCTAATTTAGGCAGCCCGGACGGTAAGGCATCTAACGGGGTAGCCTGTTCGACGACATCACATTGTGCGCTACCGGCTTCGCTTCCGTTTTCTTGTATTAGTTAGCTAAGTAGTCTGGGCAAAGGTGGAGGGCAATTTACTCCGTGGTCCTTCGCTGGCGCTACCTGCAGGCGAAGTGGTGCGTTTGACGTGATTGTAGACTTGTTGGCCTGCGGCGGAATGCGTTGCACCACCTGCACTGGTGCCCATAGTTACCATGGAGCTCTGAATCGGCCGTGAATCGAGGGGTTCGAACATTTTCGTCCCACTAGGGTTGGGCTTTTCTTCGTGGGTCTGCGTAACGCTGGTGGTTGAATTTAGTGCAGCGTCGGAGATTGTGAGCCTACCAATGTGTGAACAAACAGAACAGTCAATGTAAATGCCTCTGCTCACATTTTCTGGTATTGCGTCATGTTCTAGGAGGTAGACGTGCAGTGTTTGAGGTTGAACTGGTGTATTGTAGTCCACGCAAAGAAGGAAACGGTAGCGAAACGGTAATACAGGATCATGTCCAGGAAAGCACCATTTATTACCTTCAGGATGCAGACTAAAGTTGCATTGTTTTTCGATCTATCTGCATACTCAGACATGCAGTCTAATAGCTTGATCCTTACTCAGCCCTCGAGAACCTCCATCACCAGCAAGTTCTTTGCTAAGACTGTTCATATGAGGTAAAGCACTGTTCTTCAAACAGAACAGGAACAATGAGGTGCGTTGGTTGGTGACAGCACTTGCTTCGCGCAGAACAAGGACATGATAGTGAGACATGGCGGTGCAGGTACATGTTTCGCGAACAGAACAAGAACATGAGAGTGCGACGTAGTGGTGCAAGTGCATGTTTCGCGAACAGAACAAGAACATGAGAGTGAGACGTGGTGATGCAAGTGTATGTTTCGCGAACAGAACAAGAACATGAAAGTGAGTGGGGCCGGCGCTAGTACGTGCTCCCCGAAGAAGCACCAAAATGATCTAAGGGCCAGCACAAGAAAAGTATCATGACGACGAGGCGCAGTGAGTCACGACAGACTAAAAGCGGGGTTGTAGGAGAGCGAGAATTACCCGGAAACGTCATTAAGCCGATTCCGTGTTGAGTTCTCATTTCTCGTCAGCAGTTCGCCTAAACAACGTCACTAGTACCTTCCTGACAGGTTGCTGTTGTTCAAGTTAGCGCAGCTTTCACCATGACCTCAAGCATTTCAATCTCGCCTGACGATGTGCGGAGGATATTTTCTGCAGATGCTGTTTACTGCGTTGAGGATTCCGAGGTTGGACGGCAAGTAGAAGCAATGCAAAAAAGGGGAATGCAGCTGGAATCCAGCGATGGGATCGACTTTTTAAAGCATATTGTCCTCAAGGACGAGGTCAGTAACGCAGTACTCATTGCCAGGTTTCATTCTAAGCCCGTCTTTTCAGCGCATCATACAGTTTCTACATACGTTATTTTCGCGGTTCGGACTCGGTATATATGAAGTATTCAGATGGAGTAAAGATCAAACAATTTATGGTTTCATGACTGGCAAGCTGCCGCGAAACGCAGTCGTGGTTCAACTATGGGCGCCAAAATCGAAAATGGTTTACTACCGGGGATCGCACCTATTGCCACTTGAGGGCTTTCCCCTATCCATCGGCTTGCTGGATATTCCATTTGCACCCCTCAAACGGTGCACCAAGATTGAAGTTGATATGGCCAACGGTGGGTTGTATGTCGTTTCAATAGCATTTATTCCGTGGCTTCGCTAACACCGAATCAGAGCTATTTTTGATGCTCGGCTTGCGTTCCAGATCACGGCCGGTTATGCTATACATTGCGTGTTCGCGACCCGGGAAGAAGTTCAGACTTGGCGGAAGAAGCTTTACCCAAACGATCTTGACCTTCAAAGGAAAGCGGCGGAGATGGAGAGTCCGGTTTTCAGCTTGAATTTCTCTTTTACCGGCCAGACAGATGTACATGAAGATGAAGTTTAAGGCCCCAAATAACCATGCATAAAGGTCTATATCTACATTAAGTTATACTCGATATGAGAATATGTCCTTCCTGTTGATGTACAGCGTCGGCATCAAAGGACTCAACATGTGCTCCATTCGCAATCATTGCCGGCGCATGACCCTCACATGTTAATGGCCATTCTTGCATGTATGCCCCATCCATGAGAGGCGCCTTTGTGAGCGTCACGGCGGGATTCATGAGCGGTGCCTTCAAAAACATCTTGCTGGAATACATAAGTGGTGCCCTGCACCCTGTAAAACCAGCTGGTATATTCAAATTTGCGAACTGCGCTGGATTGGAGGGGGATTGAACCGAGAAGCTTGACAACTGATGTAGGTCTTGCGTTGAGGTATCTATGCCGAGTTGTGATGATGCAACATCGAAGGCACTCTCTGCGGCAATTTGCGCTGGGTACGTGCTAACTTGAGGGTTGCAGGGCATTTTGTTCGGGGAGCCAAACAGGGTCGCGTCAATTGCACTTTCAGCGGCTAATATCTATAATTAATGAACGCATATAATAAATTGAAGCATGCAGGGTTACTGGACTGACCATGATTTTCGACTCCGACCTCAACCCGCTGCCGTTTGCGGATGGGCTGAACCCTTGATGTCTTCTCTTCGGGATTGCGCATCGTCCTTCGCAACTCAGTTCTGACTATGTCACGCAATGCACTTCGTCTCCGGCGGACTATATCACTCGTTCGCCCGCTTTTTTTTTTGCAAGCGTGATGCAGATATGAACTAGTTTGTTTGAATTGATGGCCGCACGAGGAGCAGGTTTCAGCACATGGAATGTCTATTTTGCACTGTATCAGCTCTGCTGCTCGAGGAAACAAGGGCAGGCCATACGGGTGGCGAAATGTCTCTCCAGTTCTTTCAATGATTCAAACGTGTCGTTTCGATCACACCGGTTTTCCGGGCATCGTAGTTCTTCCATGCTGCTATACTCTGTCGCGGAGGCATCCGTAAATGTGAGTTCATGCCCATCGATTTCGCGGTCGCTGATATGTTCAATACACCGTTGGAGCTCGCGTGCGTGGTATTGTGCTTTGGACTGGACCACGTCAGACTTCTGAGATAGATTAAAGAAAGCAGCTGCAGACCCGAAAGAAGTTAATGTGATCGTTAAGCGCTGTGTTCGAGAGGAACGGTCTCGTGCAAGTTTGACACTCCATTAGGTAAGATGGGGTTACACTAGAAGGTGGCGAAAAGTCTTGGGCCGCAAAAATATGTTTTGGGTTGGGCTGCACCATTTATATAAACAGTGCAAACAACCCCTCACCCGGCGACATAAGTCCCTCAGCCACTTACCATTCGAACCCTGTCAGTCTCACACGCTCCCCTGCCGCCTCTAAAAAAGACGACGTATACTAAGACTTTCTTGCGGAATTTAGGAATGCATATACTCTCATGATGGCCGATTGTACGCGATGTCGAGGCGACGGAGTGAGAGATGGTTTCAAATGCTCCTGGTGCAATGGCACAGGAGAGGAGCCCACTGATGGCGAAACATCGGAACTGACGCATCACGTTCACACGGAATTACTGTGGTTACTAAACGTGCCAACACTTTTGAGGAGCAGGTCGAGATGAGCCTGTAGCGTATACCATAGTTTCTTTTTTGGCCTTTATACGCTTATCATTCTGTTCTGAAAGTTCATCTTGCTCTATAATCGATCCAAGCAATCTTTTCGTTGAAAGCAAACAAATGGCGGAACTTAGTACTATGACAGACGGCTCCTTTTAGCCCCATAAGCTTTCTCTAGCGCACACCAAGGCCGGCTAGTCTTACCGTACGCCTGCTTATAAATTCCTTATTCAAAGGCGTGGCCCGGAATTAGCTCGCGTATATATATAACTGAAGAGTTCGTTACGGATTTTTGGTGGAGAGGACCTGGGGTTGCTTCGCACAACATCCGTGCATTCCGGTTTTCAGTAGAGTTTTCAGGCGATATCGACGACGGATTTGCTCTTCCTACATCTAATCGTACTTGCTTGGTGGATGACAACTTGTCTTGGGTGGATGGGAAAGGATGGTCTGCCACTATGCGGTGAAATGGTTACAGGTTTAAACAAGCTATTCCGTCGCCCTCGCTGTCTTCGTTGTCGTCGTCGTTGCTGTGATCGCGGGTGTCGTCGTTACCGTACTTATGGCCATCTTTGGTGGCCGATTCTTGTCTTCACTCGGCGCCTCGCGAATGTCATCATCTTTCAACGCGTCTCGCCAACTACCGAAGCTAGAAGCGGCGGAAGACGAGACCGAGACTGAGTTGGATGCGTGTGATAACCGTTTCCTGGCCCGTCCGCGTGTACCCCAGTCAGAATCAACTATATCCCCATCCGTCGAATCAGACAAATCTCCCCATTCATCTTGCACTAGCTCGTTGCGCGTGCGCTTCTTGGGACTGTGGCTGCGGCTCTGGCTGCGGCTCTGGCTGCGGCTCTGGCTGCGGCTCTTACCCCTAGCTAGAGCCGGCAGGAAGCCATCGCGACATTCCTTCCCAGAGACGTCGCTGGCATGGGAGCGACCATCTTCGCCCACGAGCACCAGGCGGCGCGCCACGCCGGCGCGGACAAACGTCGTCTGCCCAAGCACCGTCCACGCAAACCGCGCAAAGAGGTACTCGACAGCCAGCCCTGACAGCGCCTGCGGCGGCACGTTGTGGTACACCGCCGCCAGCTCCTCGCCCGGGAGGCCCGAGAGGACGTGGATCGCCCAGGCGCCCCATTTCGGGACGAGAACGAGCTGGCGGTTGTCAAATGCCTGGTGAAGGTCGGAGCGGAGAAGGAGGGCGTTGCTGGTATCGTTGGTCGCGTTCGACGGGGAGGCCTCCGTGCGCACAGCGTACATGGTCATCTGATTCGCAGCAAACCATGCGTCTTCCTTTTGCGGGATGAGATGCGCGACTTCGTTGCCGAGGACCGACGCCGTGATGCGGCACGACTTGTCGCGGGTGTGGATGGTGTCGCGTGGACGAGACTGGAGCTTGAGCTCGGGCGCATTCCACGTTGGAGGCAGGTTATTGTGCGGGAATGCAAAGTGCTCGAACGAGGGGACCGTCGGATAGGGACTGGCGTCGCCATCACGAGCTGGGACATGGAAGTAGTAATCGCGGCCGAGCAGGAGGTCGTCGGGTGCCAGCGCGAGGGGCGTCGCATCAGGGGCGTTGGATTCGGAGAGAAAGCCATCCCAGTGGCAGTTCGCGACGATGGCGCAGGCTATGCGCGCCGTCTCATGATGGAGGCCGTAATGTATTTGATAGGAGTTTTCGGTTTTCTGAGGGTCGAGCGCGGTGAGGATGAGCAGAGTGCTCGAGTTTTTCGGGTAACCTGGGTGGTGAAGGAAGACTCGGTGGTCAGACAGGGAGGTGGTTTCGCTCGTCGGAAGGCCGTCGTCTGGGTGCTTTGGAGGCGGCAACTGTTCCCGCAAACGGTATGGGGCCGCCATTTCCTTTTTCTCTTGAGTTGTAGATGAAGATGGAGGTAGATGATGTATTTGCGCGAGCCACTGTGACAGTATTAGTGCCTGACGTAGTGCCTTGCTAGTCGTTGCCACGACAACCTCCCAATCGATAAGACACGAGGCTCGCACAAACTGAGCCGGCCGTACTAGAGCTCATGTGTGCATGCCGTCAATTGAGAAATGCATCATATTGTTAATTTGATAAGGAGTGATGCAAAAGGACGGGAATACAATCGTTGGGTAATTTGCACAAGACATGGCGCGACGGCACAATGCTGCTACCCTAGCGAGACGCTATAATAGCTTACCAACGTGCACCTTGTGATCTCACATGGCAAGCTGAAGAGACGAGTGAAACTGTATGATGTAGATTAGAACGCATAAATGGGGCCGAGGGACTCGGTCACCAGTCCGACCTGCATAGCAGTAAGGACAATGGCAATGTACACTGTTGCGCTTAACCCTTCTATATTTGTTTGGTATAAATGTCAATGAATTTAAAAAGTTCTATCATTTCTCCTTCTCTGCACTGCCGACTTTCTTGCCGACTTTCTTGCCGACTTTCTTGCCGACTTTCTTGCCGAATTTCTTGCTAAGTTTCTTACTGAGAGCCGCGGGTTTGGGATAAGCAATAAGCGTAGCTCGTCGCTCATCGTAGCTTACTAACGACCTGGGGAACACGAGTGTTGTCAACAGGCTCAATGCACCGCGATATCAACGAGACACTGGTTAGATAAGGTCTCTCCTCGCTGTTCCAGGTGCCTTCGATTTTCTTCTTGTCTGCATTGTTACTGGCCGAATCGATTCCTTTTCCAGCAATCATGGTTCACGGAAATTCTTGATCCTACAGGCAGGGCTGAGCATGTCACGGCACTGCAAAATTCATGAGGCAGGACTGTAAAGCGTACTTTGATAAACGGTTTCCTGCACGGATGCCTGGAGTCATGACATAGTCCAAGCATTTATTTCGCAGTATAATCAACCTATATATGCCTTAAAAGTAATAAATTTTTCTCTGCTCCTATTGCCCATCGCGTGTCTAGGATTACAGGGTAGGTGCGCAAAGCAACAAATTCTCCTTTTCTCAACTTTACGAGCAGCACGTACTCGTACAAAGTATAGTCAGTCATGGTCAAGGCAAATAGTGCCCATACGATAGATGCGGTGACAATTGCGGTGATCGACCACAAATAGATAGCTACGAGGTATGCACAGCTATTATTTAGCAAGTGAACAAGACCGTTGTGGTATCGCTATGATTCACAAGCCGCTGGTCGTGGACACGGTGCGAACTGCTATCTGTAGAGGTGTTAATAGAGTCAAGGAAAATCAGGTAGTCAGATGCATTAGATGGGCAACGTGAGCGCTTATGCCATCTGATGCAGAATATTATTTTACCCAGCAGAAGAGTCAAATATAGCATAACAACACTGTCAGCTCCATACATTCTATCTTCGTCACGGCCTGGAGAGGCCTCCATGAGCTGAGTGCTGCAGACAAGAAATGAACAACAATAAACAGTTTTCTGCAAGGATGCCTGGCTCGTTCAGCTGAAGCGGGTCGCGCGACACACTAGGGCGGAGCTCACCCACGTCGCGCGACGTCGCGCGATTGGCCGGACGGGCGAAGGATTTCCGCACGGTCATGCTATTACCTTATTAGGATTCTAGTCCACGTCGGCGGAGCCTGAGCGTCTGTTTTCGGGAGCCAAGTTCACCGGACCGAAGAAACCGAATGGGCATTGAAAGCAGCGAAGCTACCGAATGCCTCAAATCATGGCTTAGCAAAGACGGCAGGGTAGCTCTTGCTGATGATGACCTTGATGCAAACGGAGAGCTTCTCTATGTAACGGGCAAGCCACTTGAGCGGCGCCTATGCCGCCGAGATCCTGGAACCTTCCATTTCCTAAGCTATATTTGCTGCCCTATTCTATGGAGATTAGTTCTTCCTTCTTGATATTAAACAGCGTGGGAACTAGGCAGTTGAATCAACTTACTAGCAACCCATCACACCTACAAGGTGTATGTACGCATTGCTGACTTCTATTATTCGAAGATCAACAAGCGCATATAGCTCCGCGTAGGGAGTACAAGCCTCGAGCGCTCTGTATAGAATCTAGCCCGAGTAGTTGACGCTACTCGTAAAATCTCATCTATTCCCTTTGTTTTCGGTGCTACACACCACTGATAACGCGGCAGGTCTATCGGAGTAATAAACCTCATCGTGGGGAGGTAGACGTACACAGCAGATGATATGTAACCGATTTTTTTTAAAACTTTTACAGTATGAATCAAATGTCATTCAATGAACTCGTGTCCTTCTGCCGTATTGAATGTCTCTTCATCGCGCAATCTTGGCTTGCCCCGGTGCAGGGTAGGGGCGAGTGGCTACGGTTCTGGCTAGGAGCGTGCGCCCTTAACGCAACAGGGGCCAACCGCGACCTATGGACCCTTGTTCCGGCTTGGTGCTTGTGAGGCGGGGTGGCAGGCAGATCGGCAGAAACAACATTCACTCAGGAAAGAGAAGGATAAGCGGTTGCACGGTGCGAATGGCATGCAATGAACGAACGAGAACAGTCACGCCATCGGGCCGAGCCACTGGTTGGTCAAGTGTGAGATGAGCAGAAAGCCAGGGGATGGGTCGCCCATAGATAAATAAATCTGGAAATCGTGGAATAAAGCGAGCAGAAAGTCGGCAATAGAGCAAGTAGCAGACGAGCTAAGAGCCGACTTTCAGTTGACCAGGAAGGAAGTGAGACAATGGGGTCTCACAAATCATAGTGGATGGCGAGGAGAGTGGGCGTAATCCTGTGGAGGGAGGGGTACGTGGAAAACTTTTCAACTGGTGCGACATTGGACAAGCGAGAGCCGCTAGCATAAGAAGAATTGGCCAGAAGGCGCTGGCCAGAACCACTGACCTGGATTGTTGCGCAAGACGGTTCAAGCGTGTCACGGCAAACGGCCAGATGAGTAAACGGCCAGATGAAGTTATGGGCCGAGCAGATAGTGGCTTGTGCGCGGTAGTAATGGAGGGCCGGATCGAGGGGTCGGGCCCACGAGGCGAGAAAACTGCTACAGGCAAGGTGGAGCTGGGGAATGTTGTTTAGTCGCGGGTCCGCAAGTCCTTCCGCAGCAAGAAGCCAGCGAGACATCAGCCAGAAGAGCAGTGGCTAATGCATTGTGTGTGAGGACTGGGGTGGAAGTGCAGGTACTGGCGCGGTGGAGCTCAGCTCATCCACAGACAGTGTGCCGCCCGAAAACAAAACTGGGGGAGGGTGGCCCGTCTCCATAGCAACGGTGGTCAGTAGCATGGGGCCAGCACATCCCAAATTCATCCAAAGAATCCGCCACTATCCAGGGCTTTGCTCTGAAATATTCTCGATAGACGGTACACGACCGCCATAATGTCGCTTCTGACCCTCAAGGCCCGCCGGTCGGCGTTTGGCACCAGTGACTGCCCGCAAATCTTCTTCTTGCATCCTGGATATTCCGACGGACATAATTTGCTTCTTAGCCTTCCCGCCTTCGACTGCCGAGGTATTCATCACGAAACGGCTCGCATCGCCTGCGCCATTCTCGCTGATTCCCGCTGGGATGGCTTTCTCTCTCTGACTAGAGACGGCGAAGTGGTGCCAGACGCAAGAGATGATGTACTTGTCAAGACGCACTACTATTTCCGAGTTCCAGGCGGTATGTACGGATTCTGATTTATCATTCCTGACGCTCTCGCTGTTCTTGCTTAGTTTTTTGTCTTCCATGGTACTGTACTAACGAGGCCTTCTAGATGATCAGTACCCAGTTGTCCCGTCCTTTGAAAACTTTCGCTGTCCGACCACTCTCCCCGAATCATGGGCTGCCGAAAGCCCGCACATCGAGCCCACTGCTACGGACGACGTGGGGAGAAGAGACCAGACGTGTCGTGCGACAGCCTCGACGCTCGCTAACGAGGTTGCACACATTATACCTCCGGCACTTAGCGAATGGTGGCAGCGCAACAGCATGTTCACCTACACGGCCAACCCTGACCTCTCTTCAGATATGCGCTGCGCGGATAATGCAATTTTGCTACGTCGTGACCTACATAAGCTGTGGGACGACCACCGCTTTGCCTTTGTCCCTAAGCAAGGTAGATGGGTTCTTCATGCACTCTGGAGAAGTCCATCGAACGAACTTGAGACAGAGTACCATAACCAAGAGCTACAGCCGCTCTATGGGGTAGCGACACACTTCCTTATTTGTCGCTTTGCCCTTGCTATCCTTTCTAAGAGCATTTTTCTCAACCAGAGCGTTGAACGGAGACTTGTGACACTCGATAATGACGATAGACCACTGGTGCGATCTATGTCCTCAAACGAATACAGAAACCTTATTTCTACGGCAAGGCGGGCAAACAGCCGCAGCCAAAGTCCCAAGAAGCGGGTCCGATCGGCGCAGGGCACTGATGAATCCACGATAGATGAAGTAGAGTTGGACGGGTATGCCAGCAGCGCGCAGTATGAGCAGCGAGGCCGACGTAGGAGGAGGAGATGGTCGCCCGAGCCTTCACCGGACTGGAAGGAGGCAAAGTATATCGACAAAACACAACGATCGCTCGATACGCCCCCACGCTCGGTTAGCCCGTTACTTTGAGATGACCTGGAAATGTCCGTCGATTTTGAGGAGAATTCACAAGAGTATATACGGAATTTGCTTCAAGAGAGAGATACTTTTCTACCTAGTATGATCAGAAGTGGCGCCTGGTACATTGATCATGACAGCGCATTAAGGCAGAAGTGGCTTCTCTCACACTTAATAGCTCTCTACGCTCTAAGCTAGCGAGCCTGTATTTTTGGTACAAGCCGAGAGAAGCTGCGATCATGTCCCAGGAAAGGAGTTGCGTCGGCCCAGAGCGCGTGGGTGACATACCGGGAGACAAGCGACGAGGATCATGTACCGCTGATATATTGAGAAGCTTCATTTTAGCAATTGGCAGAGCGGGCTTAGATTGCGGTATTGGCTAGTGTGACAGCTGGCCCATGCTGACGGTTCCTCACAGAAACCTTCCTTAATCGGCCGTTGTTGCCAGCTCGTGGATCTGCTGTCCTTCACCCGGGTCGTCGCTCTCGACTTGTGGGCGTATAATCTATTCCTTTGTGGTTAGTTGTATTTATCTGCCAGCAACCCGCCAGATTCCGGGTGATCCTACCATGGTACGTAAGGAGATCTGAAGAAGCGGAACTGTAGTTGTGTGAAGGCGAGGTAGAGTCCGATGAGTCCGATTGCAAGAGAAACTGTACCGAAAACCACGGCTGCGATTGTTGAAGAATCTATTTTTAGAGCTTTGCTTTGCATTCCCGAACACCCGGTGAGTGTGTTGATGCCTTCGACACATGAGCCAGTCACCGACATGCCAGGACTTGTTTTTAAAAGCAGATTTGAACGGGGCGATGCTGCATCGTCGGTCTTCACCGACGGGAGGCACTCGGATTTTGCTACGGATGACTATATCGCAAGTGCACCGCCTGCACGGTCCCGAAATTGAGGCGACTGTCTCCTCAAGCCTTGCACCTCGCCGCTTCGTGTTTGCTTCGCACAGCCGTGTCTCTCTCAGCATCCGCTGTACGGGCCACAAAGCTTGAGGTTGATGGAAACTGAAAGAAGTCTTGGTAAAGCTGAGGTGCTGGAGGGGCATTTATTGGAAATGGTAACGGTGTGAGCTTCTTCTGTAGCCTGTCATCTTGTGGAAGTTGACTCTTAGGACAAAACTTGTCCACCGACCAAGACGGAACTCTTCGGGGATGAGGGCTTGTAGACCTGCTCGGCCTACTCGTACTTGCCCTGTTCCTTGTACAAAGAGCTTGAAGCGTCGGTTACCGTGCAAGATGTGGCGTGTTGCAGCCCACCGACCGACCGTGTGCTGCTCCAAGCCTGCTGGTACATCGCCTCGGCCTCCGCTAGCCGGCGATGGCTGCGGAGGAGATTGCCGAGGCTGAAACAGGCTGCGTACGCCATCGCCGAGTACTCGGTTTTTCAAGCAGCGAACTCCTTAACAGCATCGGAGAAGGTCATCTCCGCTTCCGCGGCTCGTCCCTGGCGCGCGTACACGATGCCTGAGCAGGCAAGCGCGACGGGCGCATGACCGGAGCGAGCTTTTTTGAGACCTTGACAGACCTATATATTCGCGTGTGAGTATCTCAGCAGCCTCTACTCTTCAGCTATCACGATATAATACGCCCAGGTCGAGTTTCAGGATGAGAGCACACATGGAACTCTGTCTTGCAGCCTCTTGCAGCCCCCGCAGTGCGAGCTTGTACGCCTCCTCCGCCTCTGGCAGGGCGCGGCGAGCAGAGCACAAAGCCGCGAACTGCGTAAAAGCCGCGATCGTTGTTTTGTCAGAGATGCCCATCACGTCCTTGAAACCGTACGCGGCCCCGTGGTACATGCTGATCGCACGGGAGCGCTTTCCACGATCCTGATACACGCCGCCGAGGTTGAATGCTGCGGTCAGCGTCCTCACATCTCTATCCCCGCTCTGTGTGCGGAAGCCGGCCACGGCGCGAACGAGGATAGCCGCCGCCTCATTCAGCTTCTGGCATTTCGCGTAGACCGTGCAGAACGCGTTGAAGATGCAGAGTAGCGCCACCGACTCCGGCCCGCCGTGCCGTCCACCTCGTCGACGAGAGACCTGTCCAGCGCCTCAGCCTGCTCGTAGCGCTTCTCGCCGTGCAGCAGCTGCCCGTGTTCGAGTATCGCATTGATTATGTTCCGGTGTCCGTACCCGAGTATGCGACGAAACTTGCCGACGACGGTGGAATGGAGCTCGTCGATCGCTGCATCGTTGTGCTGTCCGAGATAGATGGCTAGCTGGTCATACAAGCCTCCGGAAGAGCTTATAGTCGGCCCGGTCCGCTTCGTCGAATTCTTCGATGGCTTCGACGCGTACATCGCTCGCCCGCGCTGCTTGTTGATTGCCTTCTAAAATAGAAAGATACTTGGAGTAGATCGTGTAGCGCGAGGCGCATTGTTCAATCGGCCAGGGGGGGGGGGAGTTACCATTTTCGACGCGAGATCTGAAGGAGTGGCACTGGGCTTCTGAAACCATGAAATTGAGCCTAAGCTTCATTTTCTAGCATTTTCCAGTCCTCAAATAGTCGACGGACGAAGTTTATTCTGGTGCAAGCTCAGTGGAGGCGCGGCCGCGGCGCAGTGCGACGGCAGACATTTCCGACCACGCAAACTTTGAACGGCCCATGCTGGCCGCTCATGGATTCGACAGACATAGGATATTAAAACTTTTCGTCCATTGTGCTCTGGCCGTTCAATACAGAGCTTTGCAAGCGACCACTACTTGACAACTTTTTGTACGCCGCGCGGAAAAGGCTCTCCCAGCATGCTCCACGTAGTTACTTCGTTTACTTCCTCACTGGCTGAACGTCGCTGGTACTCAGGATCCTGCCCCCCTGCCCGACCGAGGTGCCAGCCAACGATACTCAGCACTTGCTGACGGTGTCTCGAATACATCCGCCAAATGACATCGTGCGCGTTCGCACGCGATATCTGCGTAGTAAGCAGGTGTACATGGCCATCATCCTTTCTCGGTAGCCTGAATATATTTTTGAAGCGGGGAACTATGTCACCGGCTTTGTTCCGTTTCTCTCTCAAATGGGTCGTTTGAATATGGACCAGCCTCAAGAACCTCTCCAAGGCGGGGGTGCTGCGGACACCGTAACCGTGCATTAGCCCAACGAAAGGCCCATCGTCGTAGAAAGCTGCGTGGCTGATGTTGAGGTTGATCAAAACACGGCTGGCAGCAATGCGTAGTGTGGGCACGGCACGGAGTGGCTTAGCCTGTTTGCAGTGCTGCATAAAGCGACAGAGCACCCGGAAGCTCTGCTCTCGCATGCATATCAAGCTAGCATCACTTCAAGGTACTAGTTCGCGGTGCGAGACTCCCTCAAAGGTAGTTATCTAGGGGAAGAGGCGCGGGGGAGGGGGGTTTGGCGGAATCGTGTTGCGGAAATGAGGGCATGGTGTCTGGCTGCATGCTGTAGAGCCACGCCATGCGCACCTCGAGTGCAAGCCTGGTCTTCAGCTAACCAATGTCCACCGTGCTTTCCTTAGCACACCCCATGACTGTGGCTTGTAGGTGAGACATAGCACCCCCCCTCCCAGTGCAGCGTCGTACCAGCCTCCTGCCCCGAGAGCTGCTGCCTCTGGTAAGAATAAGCAGTCTTTTCGTTGCCTCGCCACGAACTGACCAATTGGGCCTCTTTTTGTGACTTGCCGAATCTCCCGCGCTTCGCGTGCTTCCCGTCGTCTGTCGCGGAATATGCTTTCTTCTTCTGCCTTATTCCATCAGGCGTCTATTGCAAACACTCATCATGGTGGCAATCGATTCTTTACTCAATGAGGATACTAGCAGCACGGCTGCCATGTCAGTATAAACATTACAACGTGCTACGAAGGTTTCCGCCATGAAATGCATCAAATATGTCCTTGTGCCGGAGCTAATAGACTCCAGCCTCCAAATAACGACCCGAGGATTGACGCCCATCCTCATCTCCAGAACAACAAGATGGTTAGAGTACCTGTCATCTTCACCGCAGTAACTGAAACGAGCACTGCGACATCGACGGCTCCTGAGGCGGCTAAAGATGAACGGCCTAATAGACAAACGAGGCCTATCGCTGATTATTCGGTCTGTGGCAGTCAACGGACTGGAGCGGATTGAAGCCCTAGAGTCTGTGAAAAGGCAGGAAGCTGCTGAGCAGCTGAACGCCCTTAGCCATGTCTGTCATCGAACCAGCGACGCTACTACCAACAATTCTCCCCAACGCATCGCTTTGCCCGCTGCTACGCCGGCTTCACACCCTGGATTCCGAAATTTGACTCATTCAGAGTCAATACCTAAGCCAGACAGTGGTACGGGATCCGCGGGGGCTAGGATAAGACGTATACTTGGAAAGCCTGACATTTAATGTTCATACTACCACAGATGGAAAGGATGTCGAGTTTAGTCGAATTTAATTGGAAGGATCTATTTACGCAGCACCTTCGGCGCATGCACGTTCCTTTAAACCTCGCCAAAGGGAACAATGACCGAAAACAGTCAGAATCGAAGGGCAACTTTAAGGGCACGCAGAATTGCCTCGTGACGCGAAGGCTTCCTGCGCAGCAATCTAGCTGCCCGAAACCCGGCTGTGTGGATACTTTTGACGGCCTGACTGCCTGGGACGAATGGGCAACGCACGTCGGTCGGCACATTGAAAACGGCGAAGGCGATAATCTTGGCGTCGATGACTGACTTCTGCACTTTGTCCTCAGTGAAGGCATTATTGAGAAGGTCCGCAAAGGGTACAAACTTTGTAGAAGGCAGTTGCAGGAAGGCGAACCATGATGGTTGCCGCAAGGAACGGGGATGAGGGACAAAGTGCAAGCGTGATAGACACCACATATAGCCTCACTTGGGCCTTAAGTGAGTAACCGAGAGAACAGAGAAGTGACCTAATTACCTAAATGTTCTGCTAAGGAATCCCACCAGAGTCATGATTTTCAAAGTAGTAGAAGGACCTTAGCCATTTTTCTCTCTAAAAACACTATCTAGGCCAGTTGACATCCTCTATCTCTCTCCCTCCCTCTCCATATACCGAGTACGACGTCACAGGCAGGGCGGCGCAGTCGGTGCTCCCCCTTTTATTATTCCGGCTGAGTAGACACGAGAGCCTTCAACACCACCATCGCCACTTGTACCCCTAGCATGGCTATCTGCCTCGTTGCATGAACAGTGCGACTTGGCGAAAAATTGAGACCATGTCTCACCACTCGCAGTGATGCGGCGGGGCTGTATCAATGGTTCCTTGACAGTGGCGTGTGGATGGTATGGCGCTGCCTCAGCCGTGAAATTACGAAGACGATAATGCAAGAGACATCCGCAGCCTTCTGATAAATCAGCGTAAACTAGGCACTTTTAAAAAAAGAAGGGTACAGTCATGGACAAAAAGGCCTTCTACTTTGCCAAATGAATTGAAATTGAAAAATTGGGTCCACATAGTGTGAACTAGAATAGCAACACGCGCTGTAAACTCCCAGCAGTGGAATTAAGTTGTTCCGGTTAAACGGGCAGAATTGGGGATCAGTCAGTTGTCTTTGTGATTCCATGTGAACCCCGCACTCACTCTTGTCCTCACATTCATATTAACGACATCGCCTAGCGAGAACATCTTTTAGTCAAAATCATATCTAAGCGCGATTCAAGATGTCAGAGTCTAAGCTTGACCCCAAACCAAGCCGAAAACCTGATAACAAACCTGATAACAAACCGCTTCCAAATCCCCGACCCCGCCGCCCGCACTATACCGAACCCCACCAGTTTCCGCGACTAGAGAGTCTAGACCTCCGGCCGAGAACCTTCAAAGAGGCAGTCGCTGTTTCTGTAGGCGTGTCCTTGGTATCGTCTATCTATAATATTAGTTCTGGTTATTACGCACGCCGCGCAAACCAGCGGGAAGATGAGCGATATCAAGCACAAGTGCGTGAATACCACCGTCGAGAGGAAAGGCGGCGGGCGCTACTAGAAGAACTGTATTTCCCTCCATAGTACCAGTACATACCCTTACAATACAAGTAACTAATAGAGATCCATAGGGGTGTCGACATCGATGAACCGAACATTTCTCAAGAAGTCATCACCGCTGCACGAGATGAACTGGGATGCGACCCAGAGAAGCTGAACATCGTTTTTGCTGGCAATGTCAATGTCGGAAAATCCTCTCTTCTAAACGCCATACGGGACAAGAGCATCCACGATGACGATTTTGCACCTGTCGGAGCCAGCCAAGTCACTCTCGATAGGGTTCGTTATCAGCATCCTGTGCATGAGAACATAGTTCTTTTCGATACACCCGGCGCCGGCACACAGGACGTACAAGCCTTCAGATACTATTACGATCAAAAGTTATACGCTTTCGATATCGTTATTATTGTTCACGATACAACCTTAACACAAGTATATAATTCTACACCTCGATGTTATTATTTACGTATTAACTCCCTCTTAGTCTGACATCCGATTACTTCAAGTATGTAATGGCTTCGGGCAGGAATGCATACTCGTCCGTACGAAGTGCGATATGCACATTAGAAACTACGAACGAGACAGAGACTGCAGCATAGAAGAAGCAAGACAGCTTTACATTTCAGAGGCTCGCCTGGATGTTCTCCATTGCCAAGAACAACTCACTTCTGCCTGGCCAGACTTTGCGGTCATTATTGAGGACAATATTATATCCGCTCCTGCAATTCGAAGAGCGGTTCGTGGACAACCGCAATCAGATGCGGTAGACGTCGGTTTCACAGATGAGATGACGCTACTTACTCAACTTCGCATGCAACCAAATGAAACAGTGTAAATAGGTAGTTATTCGGGGTTATGGGCTTCGGTCGCTTCATCACTAGATAATAAGAAGTTCATAAAAAATCAATCTAGAGATGAGAATAATCTCGAGCAGACAAACTCGAAAAAGACTCAGTTCAAGGTGTGGCGGAGGGCTACATGAAGTAGCTCCCAGTGTGGATCCGCACTGTGGAGTTAAGCTAATCATGGCGTGAATTCGACGATATAGTACCAGTAGGGTGTCACATATAAGGAATAATAACTAATTATAATATTAATAAACGCTAAGGTAGGCGTCTGTGTTTTTTAGCGTGACATAGGGTATATCGTTGCTAGCGTAATGTAAATTAAGTACTTGGAGGTCGCCGTTATTTTAGGCTTAGCCCGCTAAAAAGAGCAATTACTAGAAAAGTGGAAGGCCATTTTGTCCGCGACTATACCCTTGCTACAAAGACTCTTCCTACGAGTAGGCAAGATGGGTGGGAATTTCCCGGACACTGGAAGTGCCTACTACACGGGTAGTACGTCGAGGACTGCGCCTAAAACACCTTCCCACATATGGCAAATGGTTTTCTGCACCCAATTCAATTCGTCCGTTCCCTATCAAGATGAACAGGTTCGATCGGAAGACATAGAGAAGGCGATTTTTTTGAGCCAACGGCTACTCACTATTGCGGCGAAGCTCCCTGTCTTTCGAAGATGCTTGTCAATAAAGCCATGTATGCGGCCGCTCCTTTCGCAATATCACCAAGCTGTTATGGTTACCGCTGCGTTTATCGCTGGCTTTCTACAAGAGAATGAAAATATATCAGACTCTGCAACCATAACGAAAGTGCCACACATTCTTGAGGAAGCAGTTCGTCAAAAGGTCTTTGAAACAGTAAGTCACGGCTAAGCGACCTGTCATTACCAACTGACAAATGCAATCACAAGTTCCCGGGAAACCTGCGTTGTCAGGAGATGCTTTATGAGTTCAAAGCAATGGTCGAGAATTGGAAGAAGTCTAATCAGCTTGAGGTCCCCGCAAAGACCATCCATTGTCAACCTCCGAATGTTCACCGACCGTGGACTATCGTTCCACAGCCGGGCTTTTGTCAACCTCCAGCTATTCCACAACCGTCAGCTCTTCAACAGCCAACAACTGTTCAACAACCGTACAACCTGTCGTGCAGTACAGCGCGTATTCAATCGCCCAAATTCGAAGGCCGGCTGCCCGGTATCAAGATATCGGATCTCTTGGGCCCTCCCGATTCCATCGCGGGTTCACCTTTCAGTGTGAACTACGAGGCCGCTCTTCTAGAGAAACCGATCGGACTACGAAAAGGATACGGTGTGCGGGCTATGGGCTTGGCTCTTTCGGAGAGGCCCACGATAGGCGGACTCCTGGTAGGAAAAAGATACGGTGCAATTATGTCAAAGAAACCCCACCTGAGGACGACAACCACAAATCAATCTATGACGGCTTTGACAGTGTGCGCGTTGGAAGGAAGGCCACGACGGGTTCAGTGGTGAGACTGGGGGACTATGAGGCGCCATTGACGGCCTTCAAATACTCATAGCGAGATTGTATATGACGTGTTGGCTGCGCGACAGAGAAGCTGCAATGAAAGTAAGCTAGAGGAGTAGATATACTGACCATGCTATATAACGTATAGCAGGTAACTATCTGGGAAGATATAAATGGATGGTGAAGCCAATGGTTATGTCAAACTCAACTGGCCTCGACTACCGCTGCAGCGTCGATGCCCTGCACGCAGGCCTCTACCAGCAGTTTCTTGGCAGGAAGCAGTTTAACCTATCGAATATCATCAAACCTGCCGCCGTCCCAAATCAGCGCATCTCTTCCATCACCAGTAGGAAGCTTCCGATTATGTTATCAGAATGATGTCACAACTCTCCTCCTGCCACAATTCGTGCATGATGTTCGGATGGACCACACGGAGCTGCCGAGCATGGCGAATCGTCTGTCGCCGAGCAACCTCAAGCGCACCGCTTCTGCGGTGCTGTCGAGCTAGCGCTCTGGGCGGAACCCGGCGTCGGCGCCCTAGGCCTTTTCAGGGTCGAGGCGAGCCGGTCTAGCCAGTAGTTGGGCGGTACACGCATACACGATATTCCTCCCTCGCTTCCCTCGCCCAGAAACATGCTGTCATTACAAGTGAGGCGTTGGTGGGGCATGGCAGGCACATTATCGCCTGTCACCCGGGATCGTTTTGCTCCCTGCGCTGTGTATTGAGTGGCGTGGTCAGGATCCTGCAGGCGCCTCACGACCAGCTGGGGACATTATAAGTTGACAAACGAGGACAAACGAGCAGAAGACAAAGACAAACAACATCCACTCATGTGGTCACTTCACAGCTACCTACAGGCAGCTAAGCTCCCTTAATATAGAGAAACGCAGTTGTACAGCCAGTCTAGGCCGAAACAGAAACCGTGGGCGTTGAGGCAGGCAAGCACAGCGCGCCTTAGTCCTGTTAGGAGTCGAAGCAAATGATGGATTTTACATACTTTCCAAAGTATCAGCCAACCAGTAGTATTGCATGTCGCTTGGAAGCACTGAATAGTCCTTTCTTCTTGGCCTTAGCCCACGGACGATTCCCGCAGCTGTGGCAGGCTCCTCTCGGATACTGGCCCAGTGCTTGGTAGGCTTGGCTAAATAAGCTTTGCTTCGCTGCTCTGCAGTCTTTTTGCATTCTAGAGGTATTCCTTATGAGATTTGTTCCGTCTCTAGTTCGTGGATTCGTTGCTCCTGTGAGTTTCTCTCCCCTCTCTAGTTCGTGGATCCGTTGCCCTACCTCACGGAATCGTCGCTCGGGTTCCACCATGTCCTTATTTCGATACTGCTCTATATTTCTTTCGCGTTACTGTTATGTTGCCAATCTAAGGTACAAACTGGGGGTGTACGGCGACATGGCACCATTATTCAAGGGCAAGCGTTCCCAACATGCTCGCTGTCCATTCCGCATTCTTGCCTAAGTGACTGAGCATTCAGCTATCTTATCCATTCCAAAATATTGCGTGTTCACCTTTTGGCACCAATGAAAGAACCTGTCTTCGACTCTGTCGCCAACCTAAGCAGCCGTTGCGCCAGATGTTTGAGTTGCCACTCCACGAGCGGGGGCAAACCGCGGTGCGTGACCGGGAACGCCAGTACAGCCCGCCATCCTCAGGATAGCGCTCTTGCCCGACAATGGAGCTCGCATGCCTTGCGCCGTTCTAGTGGGCTACTGTCATGTTGCAGGGGCGGGAAGGCCTGAGTGGCTGGTGTTTCCTTGTACGATTGAGGCGTGCAGTTACGGTGTATGCTTGACTCTGTTGCAAGGCAGCGATACGGCACTTTTCCATCGATTTATACCCTGGTTAGCTGTCCTGCTGTGGTTCGCAAAGGCAACCACGGGGTGAGTCTACCCTGTCGTCACGTCTCGGCCATTCTATATCACATGTCGTGCAGCATTGGCGGTGTGGCGAGCTTGCGCAGCGAAGCAAGTCGGTGTGAGCAACGGCAACCTGTTCTGGCTGGCAACGGAGTCAATGGCAGCCATTCCGCGGATACTTAGCTGTTGGACGACGATGCCCAGATCGAATCAAGCGTTTGTGGGGTCTCTGGACAGTGTCTCTGTATTGACTATGTGAAATCAAGACCAGTTGCGGCTCGGAACGCGGCCGCTCCCTTCGTGCCGGGCCGCCACAGCGCTGTCCATCTAGCAACATGAAGAAATATGAGATCGTCCTTGCTAGTTTCAAATTCGCAAGTAAAATCGAGATGAGACCCAGGAGTAGAGACCAAGACGAAATACCATAGCTGTTATTTTCCCAATCCCTCGTGGTGTCCTGTCTTGGTGTTTCGACAACAATATAGCTGTCACTAGCTGCGCCTTGACGAGCTCGAGAGCCTCCTGGTCTGATATTGGCACTCTAGCATGACTGCAGTAGCCGGCAAGCCAGTGTCGGATACTTTGCCGTCGTGGATCTAGAAACGGTTTGTATACGGGCTACGGAGCTTGGTGAGGTGTCTCTTCCCGCCAGGCGTGCGTCAGATTATTAAATGGTCTCATTTCATTTCGCACACAGACCAGCCATACATGTAGAGAAGCCGGGCGCCGAGATTAGGTTTCCGTACATGAGTGGACAATACGTCCAATGTACTCCAATTCGATAACGGTTCAAGATCGCTTTCATCACCGAATGACAAGTGACAAACGTAGATTACTATCATCAAGACAAAACACCTGAAATTCTTGTGTCTTTCTTTTACCTAATTTAACCCTTTCCTTTGCAAGTTTGTTGCCCTATCCGGTTTTTGTATACATGTTTTTCCCTTCCCCCCCGAATCGCCACACTGACCAGTACAACAAGCGACATGCCCATTTCAACCAGCTCAGAGCCCCCAACTCGAAACAGCCGGTTTGTAAGAAGAGTTTCAAAGAAAGTCATAACTATACAATTAGTAATTTTCATTACCTTCCCACTCCTCCAGCCCCCGAGACGCCTCGCCAAGCAAGCAAGCAAGCAAGTACCAAGGAGAAACGGTTCCAAAGCAAAATGATGAGAATGAGTAATGTCTGTGCATGTCACCACCCCTCCTCCCCCCCCAAATCTCCTTCCCGCCAGCCATCTTGACCTACGGACTGGTCCTATCCTGGTTATTGTGTATGGCATTATAATGCAGCTCCGTTGTTTGTTAACATCAAACGGGCCTTGCTCCCTCCTCTTCCTCAACTAGACCATAGGTCGGCTCCCAAGGGCAGCGCTGGCCGAATGGCAGCCTTGCTCGTGACGCTTCATGTTGCTTCGCACGTTAAAGGCCTTGCCGCAGCCGGGATACGCGCACTTGTACGGCTTCTCGCCCGTGTGCGAGCGGCTGTGGATCCGCAGGGTGCTCGGCCGGCTGAAGGCCTTGTTGCACATCGGGCACAGGTACTTGTCCTGGCCCTGCGGGTAGACGCTGCTCTGCGACGAATGCAGATAGTGGTGGTGCTGCCACAGTTTCTGGCCCTCCTGCGCAGGCAGGAAAGACTGCGGGAGCGCCTTCTGGCTGTTGTGCTGGGCGGCGTAGGGATGGGGGAAGGGCTGCTGTGCTAGGGCATGGTGACCGGAGACACCGTAGTAGCCTGGCGGCGCGGCGCCGGTGGCGGCCTGCTGGGGATGCCCGGGGGCGGTGAATCGTTGCGGCAGCACGGGGATAGATAGCCGTGATGCCCGCGAGGCGGCGGCCTGCAGTTGCTGTGGACGCTCCGCTTGCTGCTCCAGGGGTGGCGTCGTCTCGTGGAAGCGACTGGATGAGGAGGATCTGCTCGAGTCGAACGGGAAGTGTCCCCTCTCCTGGCTCGACGGCGAGCCGTAGCCATCGTATGCGCTACCCGTGCTCAGTGGCGGTGTCGGCGGGAGCCCTCGGCGGTGGTGGTGCTGGAACGCGCCCGAGTGCCTGGAGCCCGGACGGCTTCCCAGGTTGCCGAACTCTCGCCTGCTCCGCCCGTGTATGTCAAGGCAGCAGCAGCAGCACTTTCGAGTTCCCGTACCTTGTGTTTTGGGGGATCCGCGGTAGGATGTTGGTGACGGATCTGTCGTGGGCGAACCAGCATCCGCGAGACCCAAGAGGTTCGAGATGGAGGGGAGGGAGCAGTGAGAATCATCCATTGGGGGAGATGTAGGAGGTCGTGGGGCTCGGTTGTACAACTGGCTGCTCGTTCTCGGCGGGTAGGTAGTATCCTCATAGGGTATAAACTCGATTGTCACCATGAGTGTTTGCAATAGACGCCTGATGGAATAAGGCGGAAGAAGAAAGCATGTTCCGCGACAGACGACGGGAAGCACGCGAAGCACGGAAGATTCGGCAAGTCACAAAAAGAGGCCCAATTGGTCAGTTCGTGGCGAGGCAACGAAAAGACTGCTTATTCTTACCAGAGGCAGCAGCTCTCGGGGCAGGAGGCCGGTACGACGCTGCACTGGGAGGGGGGGTGCTATGTCTCACCTACAAGCCACAGTCATGGGGTGTGCTAAGGAAAGCACGGTGGACATTGGTTAGCTGAACCATTCAAGACCAGGCTTGCACTCGAGGTGCGCATGGTGGCTCTACAGCATGCAGCCAGACACCATGCCTTCATTTCTGCGACACGATTCAGCAAGCCCCCCCTCCCCCTGGAAAAGTACCTTTGGGGGGATCTCGCGCCGCGAACTAGTAACTTGAAGTGATGCTAGCTTGAAATGCATGCGAGATGGGACTCGTCGTCCGACGGCTGAGTATCCGCGGAATGGCTGCCATTGACTCCGGCTCCAGCCGGAACAGGTTGTCGTTGCTCACACCGACTTGCTTCGCTGCGCGAGCTCGCCACGCCGCCAATGCTGCACGCCGTGTGACAATTTCACCCCACACCTCCTCTGATCCTTCCGTCAATGGTGTCGCATGGCATGGCTTTACCACTATTCGGTCTGAACAAAGAAAAGAACGCTCGGCATGGTAAGCCGGCCGCGCTGTGCTCCGGAGCGTCGTTATGGCTAGTAACATTGCTGCCGAGGAAGCAAGCCGCTTGCCAATATTACCCCCAGTCCCCGCAGAGGATCAATTCCGCCTCTGCTTGGTTGGTATGCAAAGTGATCCGACCCCTTGCTTGGAACAGTTTATCGTAGCCGGTTTGAGTATGCTTAGCAAATGAGACTGATGCAGTCAGGATCAGTCGTGGCCCCATGGATCACTGGTCATGTTTTCGTCCGCCATCAACAAGAACCGCGTTGCAGAATTGTCTCTTTTCATACCAAGGTGCATCGTTGCGCGTTCCTGCACTAGCACGTTGACCACCGTGAATGGCATCAGGCACACTGTACACGTTCCCAACAGCCATCGCAGCTTCCTGATCGGCGTTCTCTGCGCCAATCACACCTTCTTCCCCACCATTTGCATGCTGTTCACGACTCCTGAGATATCACAGCATTCTCAATTAAGTCCGTGCACGTCTTAATAGTACCGCCTGCTGCTCACTGCACCAACTGACCCACCTGCTGCACCTTTGACCTGGTGCTTCAACGTACACCGAATATCACCGCGGCTTCTTTACTTGCCTCTCCTGGCCGCCTGTTCCGGTCGTCTTGGATTCGTCTGTTTGCGGGGCCGTTTGCTTCGGTTAGTCCTCACTTGACCCTCGGCCAGCAGCTACCAACTCTTTGTCATCGCACCTCTCGCCATTTCACGCTTAACAATTTACATCTTGCAAACCACTGTCTTGATCAATCTCTCAAAACTAACCGCCAACATCTTTGTAGCTCGCCATGGCGGCTGCTGACAATGTACCGCTTCCCCAACACCGACTTTCCGGCCCGTCTATACCTGCCTCCGATCTGATCCTTCGCGAGAAGCAATACCTTTACTCCTTCATACTCATCGTCGCCTTTTTATCATGTGTTGCATGGTACAGTGTGGACCATGCCAAGAAGCAGGAAAGCATTCTGCAATTGCATGGAAACGGCCCAGGCGGGAAGCCCTTGCCCGTCACGAAGAAGAAGACCAAAGACGATGGCGAGAGAACGCTTGGTCCCCACTTTGGCCCAGCTGCCAAAAACGTCTTTCGCTATCTGACTGCAATCATCTTCCTCTCCTATGTTGCCTCCGGCGTCTGCATGTTTGACCACGCATTCTACCACGACAACTCCTACAAGTGGTCCAAGGAAGGCCTCTCGTGGGCTGGGGAGTGGACTGTAGTCCACATTATTGGCTCTACCTTCTTCTACCTCTCTATCTTTTTTTCTCTTTTCGACTGGAAAGAGGGTCCCAACGGCGTCCACCTCTTGATCTGGGTCCTAGGCCTAGTAGGCGAGCTCATTTTCTTCTCAACAACCTTCAAGACTGCCGCCGCATGCCGCCTTGCCAACCCTGAATCGCAAACGGGAGAGAAAGACTGCTTCGATCGCTGGATCAAACTCGACTTGATCCTTTACTTTGTCCGTATTCTCCACCTGACAGCCCTCATTAGGGTTCTTAGCGTTGCTTCGATCTGTAAAGTACGATCAAAAGGCCCTGAGAAGCTTGAAGACGGCTTCGACCATGAGCACACCCAGCTTCTGAATGGCCACCAGTGGTCATATGACTCTCAAAATGGCGATGCCAATACAGCAGGACCGAACGGACGCGACTCAAACACTCGCTGGTATCAAGGCCAGATCATGTCCGGCGCAGCCAAATACCCAGCGCCCACTTCACGCAAAGACAATAACGCCACGTTTTATCGACCACAAAAGATTCCCCACCGGGCAGATCCAAATCCGCACCGCATCGCATGCCCGATATCTTCGAGGGTCAACTCCTGCGAACAGAGTTTTTGCGCGATTGAGATGCTGTATCCCAAGCGCAAGGACAGACGTCGGTTCGAACACGCACACCTCAGGTTCCTGCAGTGGTGGCCTGACCGAGGTCAAATCGACTCATTGCTGGATCCATCCAGGAGACCACTTCGCTCCCAGATAGAAAGCTATCTGGACAATCTCCAGTCTTCCTTGGTGTATGGTAAGTAACCAGCATTTTGATTTCCACGCCAGGAGAGTAACATGGCAATATTGCAGCTCTCGACTCAGCCAAAGACATTTCCATTCTCCCCGATGGCCATTTCAGTCCATGTTTTCCCAGCATCGAATCGCCACTCACACAACTAAAATGTCTCACTTACCAATTACTACTTGACACCCCAGAGGGGCTTGGGTGTCGAGTGGCCGCGTACCGAGAAAAAAGAGGGAATCCCGAGTTCGACCGTGAGGTGGTTGAGTTGATCCGGGCTGAGTTTCCTCACCTAAAGCCGGGACTCGCTAATACAAACGGTTCTTGGTGGCAAAAGGCGGGCTTCAAGTTGTTCGAGCCACACGGAGCAGTACAGAGTCGGGAAACGGCGTCAGATGAGCCTGCTGGCCTGTTCAAAGCTTTAGCAGATGCTATCCTCTTCACTCACTACAAGACACTATACGAGCGAGACTATGGCGAGCAAGCGCGCAGGGATGCGCAGGACCCTGAGATTGCGTCTATGAGGCTGCTCGTCGAGCAGGGCAGTGCACCAGCAGCCTGCAACCCAGAGGACCAGTCCGACTGTCCCATTTGCGGGGAGACATGTTCCAGCCCGTCTTCAGGCAACCTGGGCCCGGATGAGTATGTTCTCCAGCACAGACCTCTACTACCGCAATCATCACCCCGCTAACAATGCCTGGACAGACGCCATTTCTTGCATATAGCGAAACCGTACGTCTGCTTAGCTGCGCGCTGCGATCGAAGCAACCCACCGTCATTCGAAACCCCTTTGCGGTGGAAAACCCACATGAGGCGGCACCATATGGGACTGGGGGCCATCCATTTGCAAAGAAATGTACAATGGAGATGCCCAGAGTGTAGATGTCTATCTCCAGTGGAGTTTGGGTCGATCGAAGTGATGGCCCGTGACTTGGTACGCCATCGATGCACCCATCACGGCAAGCAAGAAACCCAGGATGCACTCAGCATGGCTAGGGTGTGTTATATATACTGTCGTCGGCCCTCTAACACTTGTCCGATTTGTGGAACGTGCTATCCGGCCAGTTCAGAGCAGCCTAGCAGCTCGCCTGACCAAAACGAGCCAGGGACTGCTACATCTGTCGAGTGCGCAGCAGACGATGGAAACTTGCGAGTCGACGACTGCGCCGTGAGGCACATGCTTGAACTCTCCTACAAGTTCACGAACTCGAGCTTGAGCGCTGGATCAGGCTAAGGTGCTTTACACCCAACCAGCGCTGGCCCTTTTGTGTGGAGGTTTAAGGCAGCTGTCAACCAACGACCCTCTGTGATGCAGAACAACTAATCTGTGGCGGCAGCATCGTGTAACCGTGACTAGCTCTATCGAGGTGGTATTTCTTAGTGTAACAATCTATGATAAAGCGTGCAACGGCCCGTCGGCCAGCCAGAACTCCTTGCAAACATGTATTTTTAGGACCATTTTTTGTGTTCGTATCCATTCACTTTGCGAAAAGACCCTGCGCATTTGTTCCACCCGAGACATAAGAACGGCGGGCATTCACAAAATCAGCGAGTCAGTTTTGTGCGGGGATAAGCAAATATTTACCAGCTTTGAGTCAATAAACGCATAATGCATTACCATCTGGTAGCCATGGCTTGATTTTCTCTGGGACTCGTCTGTGCGCTCTCGATCCCAACTTATTGTCAGGCGTTGAAGATTCCCACTCCCATGATTATGAAATCCCCGAGCTCATAAAATTTCACAAAATATGCCCTGCATTGGCTGCATTGGCTGGGGCACACTTTGGCGATGTTGTCTGGCATATATGCATATGGTTTACCACGGTTGCTCTGGTCAGCTTTGAAGAATAAAATCCAAGTTGGGTATAACGTAGATCAAATAATTTACTATTAATGAGTGTTTTTCTTATCTCCTTCATTTTTCCTTTTTTTTTCCTCTTTTCTTTTTTGGGTTGGCTTCAACGCCAGCTTCTTCCTCCAGTTCAATCTTCATCTGTGGGCTGAAGTCATCCTGCAGGAGCCAAACAACATAAGAAGTGACAGCCAGAGTCCAAAAGACCTACTCCCATCAGGGCATTGTTCTACGCGAGTTGGTGCGCTGCCGTTCGCTCCCCAGTCTGACTACGTTGAATGTTTCTCGCAGCAGGGGAGATTGGCGACCCATGGCGGGAGATGAACTTCTAAGCAGAAGTACCGATGGAGAGACAAGGGGAAGGGTGCCAACTCGTTGTCAACGAAATGGGCCAGCTTAGCGGTAGCCCTCCAGCCAGGTCGTACCATGCACGCCGCAGAAGTCGCAAAACGGTTGTGTGCGGTATGTGGCGGCTTGTAGGTGCCAGCATCAGCGAAGCAATCCTGCTTCAGTACATGCACAGCCTCGTCAGGCCGATACAGTGTGTGTTCGTTACAGTTCTGGCAAACTGCCGTCTGGCGCAAGCAGTAGGAGCAATTGAAGAGAAAACACGACGATACTAGAGCTGAAGTTATGGAAAGAAAACTTTCTGCAGACCACGCATTCAACAAAAGCAAACATCCCGCTTGTACTGATTTCATGGCAGAGGTTGTCGGATATCTGGTAAGTGATTTTCACAGCAGGATCTCGACATGAGCTAACATGATATGAGCGTTCGACGAATCTCAAGTGTGAAGGGACTCTTCGTCTCTTCGGTAGCAACTTTCAATCCCCAGCCTCGGAGCCATCATTGCTCAGGCTCATGATCAAAGGTGCAACCTGTACAGAGGGGAGGCAAGGCGTGCTTTGCCTTGCCGTTTCATACTTCACTGAAACAAGAAGAATTTCGATTTTGGAAGAAGGTATGGACTGAGTAGGCTCCGGCTGTTGACGCCCGAAGACCAGTCTGGAGAAAGAGCATACGCAGACAAAAAGAAAATGGAAAATTCGCCTGGTGTGTATCCTGAATGCCTATACCTATCATTGCTTGACGATACTATATCCAACCCCTACCAACTAGCAGCCCTAAAATCTACACATAATCATGCAGCAGACGAGATTGAGATAGACAAAGTTTGACTGTTAGTTAGTTTTAAGTACGAATGTCCTCTGCTGCTTGGGGGAAGTAGTCGTCCATGTAATTTGCTAGAGCCGATAGCAGCGGTGACGAATCGAATTCCCGATTAAAAGGACAGTAGGATAGCCCTCAGGCCAACAACAACGAGAGGCTTCTGTGAATCGTCGAGCCTGAAGCGTTTAATCCATTTCGCATCTATTTTCGATGGCCGACGATCTGCTCGATATAGAAAGACTACATGTGGTAATCTTGAAGATCTCCAGCGTCGGGTAGGGGCAGTTCCTCAACTCTCCCGGTAGGAAGACACCAATAGGAAACTCGGCAACCTCGCACTTTCGATTGGCAGTATATTCGGTCTCGTGAAAAGGTGTCGGGTTATACTTTCTGCATTAGCCTGTTTCCATGCTGGTTCTCTTGTATACGTACGTCGGTGCCGATGGGTTCCCTTCGTATCGCTCGTGAGACTGTGCTTTTCCCAGTTCCGGCACGTCCAACAACGTACGGCAAGCAGAAGGCCGGCGTTCTTCAATTTTGCTCTGAACAAGGGCCAAAGCCACAGAAAGAATGAAAAGCAGCTTCTTCTGCGCATCATTTTGAAGCCGAATGTGTTGCTTCATTGCTTCATACAAGAGTCAGAGCGAATGAATGGTTAAAAGACCGTTTGAAGACGGCCGACAGCCTTGACATTGTGGTTCGACCATTACAAAAGTCCGTGCTAATGTAAGGCTATGCTGGTAGTGCAGAAAACGCGGCTCGATGTTGGTACTGGGGTGTTGTGATTGTATAGAAGCTCCAGCAATTCCGTTCCGCCGGAGAGACAAGGTGCTAGAAAAGGTGCCAGAAAGGGTGCCAGAAGGTGGTATCTCCAGAACGAGACGGGGCGACCGCATTCTTCCTCCACACGACTTTTGAAGTTAATGTACTTGTTCGCTCTCCATATTGCGCCCTTACTTGAGGCAGAGGTCTATTTCGCTCTTTGCACTGTCCTTATTCTGCGCTCACTCAATCTGCCATTATTTTCGATCACATTGTTAGCTGTAGCCAAGAGAAGCTCGATGATCTCTTTTGCGGCTTTGTCGATTTTTTCGATTTTTTTGGTCCGCCCATGGCGATTGATCGAGAACCAAAGACGATAACGTAGAATAGGGGAGGATAGTGGACGATGGTGCGCGACGGGGGGCGATGGTGCAGGAAGGGGAACAATGGTAGACGCAAACACATGCCGAGGCCCCCCCCCCCGGGCGTTGCTGTCATTTATGCTAGCATGTCTCATCTCATTTCACGACCTTACGTTGTTACCAATACTTGGTCTCTGACTACGGGTCACATCAATTTTTCAGGCCGAGCAGTGATGAAGCCATGCGCTGCGACACCATTGACGCAAGGATCAGAGGAGGTGTGGGGTGAAGTTGTCAGTGAGCTTGACGTGAACAAGAAACTCATTGTAGTTCCGTGTGTAGCTTGTAGAGGTGCAAGCTATATCACATCTCGTAAGAGCTGGACGTTGCAATCGGCTAGAGCGGCTTCTTGCTTTGTTATCGAGTAAACAGCAAATGCATATCTGTCAAAGGGCTCTTCGTTTAGGGAGAGAAAGATGCATGATGAGGTATAGAAAATGACCGGGGGAACATGACAGGTACTGACAGACCCTGTCGACGCCTCGCCATAGCCGTCGCCCACATGCCGCCCACCATCGCTCCCCGTCGCGCACCGTCGCGCACCGTCGCGCACTATTGCCTTCATACGCAGGAGCAAGAGGCAGAGACGACGCCGAGTGAGCTAGGTTCGCTACGAGCCGACAGGCCCAGACGACGGAACCCTGCACGGAGGGCTATTCCTCTTCCAGCCGGGAAGTATGATTGGACAACGTTCTCTCGGAGATCTAATGATGTTAGATGCCTCACAGTTCGCTTCAGGCAACGTGCACTATTTACATTTTGACAACCGTTAGCTCTCCCATGCAGTTGTTGATACTTATCCAACATGTCTCTCGTATGGCAACTATGCTCAAAGGCCTTTTTCAGTTGCCTCGGAAAGCGCGATCATGAACCGCGGCTCGTGACCTTGTACCCTGTTCGAAGCTTCGTCTCCGGTGCTAAGTGTGGCAGGAACCTCGTCGTAGTGGCACCAGCCAACTGCAGCCACCCGTTGCAGGGCTTCCACCGGCGACGGAAACGACGGCTCCGTGCGACACGCATGCATACACTTTTCTCCCTCGCTTGCAATGTTTTCCGGCAACATGCTGTCATCACAAGTGAGACGTTGGTGGAGTATGGCAGGCACATGTACCATTGCCTGTCCGTCACTGCCTATATCCACCCATGGCAGACCCCATTTGGTCCGTGGGAACTGGGCACGACCAAGTACCGCTATCACCGGGATCGTTTTGCTCCTTGCGCTGTGTACTGAGTGGCGTGGTCTGGATGCGGCCGTTGTACCAGCCCAGGTCGGGCCATATACCCGCTGGTCACTCCACAGCGTGTGTGTCACTCACGGATACTTTTTCTTGTGATGCTCGTCTCTTCGACCACCCCCCTACCCTCTCCCATGGCACAGTTTTCCAGCCACCAAGCTACTCAGGATCCTGCAGGCGCCTCACGACAAGTTGGGACATTGTAAGTTGACAAACGAGCAGAGGACAAAGACAAACAACATCCACTCATGTTACAGCGACTTATAGGCGGCTGGGCTCCCTTAATATAGAGAAACGCAGTTGTATAGCCAGTCTAGGCCGAAACAGAAACCGTGGGCGTTGAGGCAAGCAAGCACAGCGCGCCTTAGTCCTGTTAAGGAGTCGAAGCAAATGATGGATTTAACATGCTTTCCAAAGTATCAGTCAACCAGTAGTATTGGCACGTCGCTTGGAAGCACTGAATAGTTTATGGGATTGTTCCGTCTCTAGTTCATGGATTCGTTGCTGCTGTGGGCTTTTCTCCCTTCTCTAGTTCGTGAATCCGTTGCTCTACCTCACGGAATCGTCGCTGCTTGGATTGTTTTTGCGTCTCCCTGGGCTTTGTTGTGTCAAGACACTCGCCTTGGTCACGTACAAGAACTCTCTTGTTCGGCGAAGCCGACTTCTAACATCAACACTCAGACGCGTCGTACTGTCCTGTTGCAACGCCACCTTGCCCATGATCCAAAAACACAAACTCACTGCTCTCCGCATCTCGCCTCTGACACAGAAGCTCGGCCCACGCATTTTCGTAGATCTTGCAAAGACCTTGAGGCATTTCTTTCAAAGATGCTTGTGCTGGCAAGTGTATAGGCGCCAGTTCTCTCTGTGACCATCCTTCGGGCCCCTCCCTCTAGGTTGCCGCCCGCCCCTTACCCTTCCCCCCTACGTTCAGCACTGCCTCTACTCGTTCTCCCGTTGCTCGGGTTCCGCCATGTCCTTATCTTGGTGCTGCTCTATATTTCTTTCGCGTTACTGTTACTTTGCCAATCTAAGGTACAAATTGAGGTTGGTGACAGGGCACCATTATGCAAGGGCAAGCGTTCCCAACATGCTCGCTGTGCACTCCGCGTTCTTGCCTGAGTGACTGAACATTCAGCTATCTTATACATTCCAAAATATTGCGTGTTCACCTTTTGGCACCAATGAAAGAACCTGTCTTCGACTCTGTCGCCAACCTAAGCAGCCGTTGCGCCAGATGTTTGAGTTGCCACTCCACGAGCGGGGGCAAACCGCGGTGCGTGACCGGGAACGCCAGTACAGCCCGCCATCCTCAGGATAGCGCTCTTGCCCGACAATGGAGCTCGCATGCCTTGCGCCGTTCTAGTGGGCTACTGTCATGTTGCAGGGGCGGGAAGGCCTGAGTGGCTGGTGTTTCTTTGTACGATTGAGGCGTGCAGTTGCGGTGTATGCTTGAGTCTGTTGCAAGGCAGCCATACGGCGCTTTTCCATCGATTTATACCCTGGTCCGCTGTCCTGCTGTGGTTCGCAAAGGCAAACACGGGGTGAGTCGACCCTTTCGTCACGTCACGTCTCGGCCATTCTATATCAACCAGAACCGCTCGCCTAAAGACTTTCAAGAGAAATCAACGGGGCATCTGTCTTTCAATCCAACATTGCTGAAGTCCAAGAATGTCTGCCAGGTCAGTCTCAGCCCATTTCACGTTAGCTTGTCATCACTCCAAGCCGTTACCGCCAGTCGAACAGCCAACCAGTTACATCTGCACAGCCTGACACTTCCACCTCTTCTCCTAGATCCAAGAAGACACGCTCGCCACCCTCATCCATGGCAACGGCCTCTACCTCCACCGCCACGCCTGGCCATTCTCATCGCCGCAGCAGAGTAGCCAGTGAACGCAATCATGGTGAACCCAAGAACCCGGCCGGTCGACAGCTTTGGAACCCCCCCGACGATTCAAAGAGCCGCACCGAGTCCAAGGCCCGCACCGAGTCCAAGGCCCGCACCGAGTCAAAGAGCCACAGTGCCCGCCCTAAGCATTCAACATCAAGGCGATCCAAGATTGGCAACCGCAATAGTGCATCAGTGGGGCTCTTCCCTGTCCCCGTAGTACACCCTCCCGACATGACCACAATCCCTGGTTGGAAGCTTGATCGCGAGCCTCACACCAAGCCCATCTCGTATGAGAAGCTTGTCAGTGAGGTCACAAGCATCTATGAAGGCCTGATAATGATTGAATTCAAATGCATTCAACTTACCGTTGATCCGAAAACCCGAATCCCAGATGATCAAGAGCTCGATTCGAAGCAGCTCCAAAATTTGATTGGGCTACATCGCACGCTGCTAAATGAGCATCACGATTTCTTTCTCGCCAGCTCATCTCCGTCTGCGTCTCCTTCCGTGTGCCACCTTCCTAAGAAGTACAATATGCCTGGACGCATGTGGCGCTACGGCATTCAATCATTTCTCGAGCTCCTCCGCAAGAGATTACCCGGCTCTCGCGAACATATGCTCACGTTCCTCGCCGTTGCATACGGAATCATGACTCTGCAACACGAAACTATCCCTGAATTTGCTGATTCCTGGCTCGAATGTCTTGGGGATCTGGCCAGATACCGCATGGCTATTGAAGATGACGCTTTCGAACGCGAAATTTGGACGTCGGCATCTCGGTCCTGGTACTCAAAGGGCTCGGAGCTGTTGCCAGAGGTTGGCCGGATGTATCACCACCTAGGTTTACTTGCGAAGCCAGATCCTCTGAGGGAACTGTACTACTACAGCAAGTCATTATGCGTTCCGGTGCCTTTTCCAGGCGCTTGGGAGAGCATCATGTCGATTTTCATCCCAATCCTGAGAAACCCTATTCATCCAGATCCCTCAGATAGCCCGTCTGACCTATGCGATGAGCTGTTTGTGAGAGTCAATGCTATTCTCCTTTCTGGACTCCAGCGCGACCAACTCGAGGAGACAGTAGCAAGGTTTCTTGGTACCTTGGACAGGAGCATCGCTCTGCGGAGCAAGGGCTGGCTCCAATCAGGGTGAGTGGCAATTTGCCCTTGTTACTGATTTTGACTAATTTCGATGCTCAACAGACACTGCATTGCCATTTCTCTTATCTGTTCTCTTGTCGGCTACGGCGCGCCTTCCAATCCCCTTCAGCAATTACTACCTCGACCTGTCGCAGGTGATGCAAAGCTAGGTAACAAAAAGGACATTGACGGGGATACGGCCAGTGACAAATTTGAAACGACACGAAAATTCGTCACGCAGACTTGCAATATTGTGTTGCGACGCAAATCGGACCCTAACTGTCTCCCATTCTCTCACACGGTATTGGTCTTTTTGTATTACGTGGCTCAACACCCGAAAGCCATGTCGCTTACTGAGGACGAGTTCCCATGGACCCGAGTGGCTGATCTGCTCAACGAAGCCTATCCTGCACTGATGTCGGCGCCGAGATTGGCAGACAAAAACTTCCCGCGACCACCAGCCAACGAGCCGTTACGCCCACTACCAGAAGACTACGGCATGCGAGGGTTTGCACTGTCAAAGGACTACTTCCCTAAGGAATGGTTCTCGAGCGAGCAAATCGAAGATGAGGAGAAGATGTTTGAGCCGCCGTCGCTTGGAGATGAGAGACGGCAACGTGTGCTCTGGCTTGGGCGTCGAATCTGCGAATTAGGAAACTGGCTCGAGTGGAGCGAAGAAACATGTCGGTTCACTGTCAACTCGGCACATGACATAGACATTGGCCTGCCTGTTGAACTTGATTGTTTCGATGCGATGCCGGGTTACTGAATCGTGTGCAGAGATAATATTTTGTAAGGAATTTTAAGCCCCAGATGGCTTGCAGAACGGAAGTCTTTCCTGTTGATTGATCGCCACAAACTACTTTTTGCGGAAGGTCAACATATCGACTGAGGTTGCCGCTGTGAGTAGCACCATTTCCGTGGCGAGGGCTGCAGTGTCTCCTCTAGACAATTGAATAAATTGAAAGAGAAGTTAAATTACAATATTTTTGTTGGCCATATTCATTTCTTTTCTGCCGATGTCTTTTGGGCCTAAGCGGACTATGTACGGAGTTATATTTTACCATAGTCTAATCTTGTTGAAAGAAATGAACTGCGGTGATCTGGCCCAAGATTTTTTTTCCTTATTTCTAGCACCGGCAGCTCAAGCTTCTCCGCCTCCTCCCACCGGCCTTGGTTCCAATATGCCAATGCCAAATGGGCCATGCTAGTCAGCGTGGAGGGATGGTCTTCCGCAAGCTTCTTCGCATGAGTCTCCACCACCTGTACCTGACCGCCCAGCCTCGCAAGGTGGGCATCGCATTCATGAATGGACGGAAAGGCACGACCTACACCTACTTAATGAGCCAGATGAGGCAACAACTATGGCCAAACGCAATTCAAGGAGCAGCACGATCGACTTGGCCTTCTCGAACATACCCGAAGCGTCTGCCACGGTGGAAGTGCACCTCACGACAGGATCCCTCCACTACACCATCGGAATCGAGATTCCAAACCGAGAACAGGCCCAGGTCACGCCAGGAAAAGTCAGAGTGGCCATGCCAGACGAGATCAAAGCCTTTGGAGATCATGTAGGTAAAGCAGTGAAGTCACTGCCTACCGACATAGACTCGCACGCCCAGATCGAGGATATGGCCAGGCAGCTCCAAGAGATCCTCCAGAGCTCTGCCATGGCATGTGGTAGGGTAAGCCGCGGTCGCCGCGCCCGAAGCTGCCCATGGTGGAATCAGGAGTGCAAAGACGCATACGACGACCTGCGGGTCACACGACGCATCTACGAGAACCAAAGAGGAGAGGAAGTGCAACGGGCCAGAGTAAGGTTCTACCGCGTCCTCCGACGTGCACGGCAAAACTTCTGGCGCAACACTATAAACGAAGTCACCACAGCGGAAGGCGTATATAAACTCACCAGGTGGATGAAGCCGAGACAACAACTCCAGCCCCCGCCGATCCAGGTGGGCGACACGACCTACTCTACCGATATGGAGAAAGCCATGGCGCTACGCAAGGAGAAGCTGGAACGTCGCGACGCAGCAGATGACATCCCCGACGCATGGGAGCCAACTGTCAGCCCTGCCAAGGAGATCCCCTTCGCAAAAACAATCTCGACCAAGGAGATCGAGAAAGCTGTCCTACACACCGGAAACACAACCCCCGGTTCAGACGGTATCACGACCAAGATGCTGCGAGCAGCCTGGCCGCACATTGCCCGACCACTCACGACACTGTACAATGCCTGCCTACAACTCGGTCATCACCCCAGCGTCTTCAAGACTGCCGAAGTCGTCATGATCCCGAAGCCGAACTAGCGAAACCTCAGCATGTGTCCACATGGCGTCCCATATCACTCCTGTCCTGCCTCAGTAAAGGATTAGAGCGGGTCATCGCAAGAAGAATGGCTTACGCTGCTATCAAATACGGTATCCTCCATCCCAACCAGGCTGGAGCGCTGCCGAAGCGGTCTGCCGTAGACATTGTGGTGTCCCTCATCTACGACATAGAGAAAGCACTTGCAGCTGGCAAGGTGGCAACTCTCGTCACAGAAGATGTCATGGGAGCTTTCGACGCAATCCTCCGCAACCGCATGATCCTTCGCCTACGGCAGCAGGGGTGGCCGGGTTTCTTGGTCCGATGGATAGCCAGCTTCTTGCTAGACAGACTAGCCAGTGTGCGCTTCCAAGACACAACCACACCGAGCGCGAGACTGCGATGTGGCCTCCCACAAGGCTCGCCCATCTCGCCAATACTTTATATCTTGATCACAGCGGCAATCTATTTCCTCTCCGGCGCGGCCCAGAGATACGGATACGCTGACGACACGGCGATGCTCTTTATAGGAGACTCGCTGGAGGACACAGCAAGGCAAGCAAACGAAGCAATCGCGGCCATGGAGTCGTGGGGAAGAGGCGAGGCAATCCACTTTGACCCGAACAAGACAGAAATCATGCACTTCTCCAGACGCACGGCAGACCACAGCCAATCTCCCGTCATTTACCACGGCGACAAGGAGATACGGGCATCGACATCCATGCGGTGGCTCGGCATCTGGCTCGACAAGAAACTCACCTTTAACCACCATATCAATGAGTGGACACAAAAGGCCCGTAAGGTAATCAATCACCTCCGGGTCATGAATAATACCGTGCGAGGCATGGCAGCAACAGCGGCCCGTCGAGCAGTGTGGGCTGTGGCTATGCCAATCCTATTCCATGGACTAGATGCCTGGCTACCTGGCTTGGACACAGGCAACTCACGCCTAAAAAGAAACCACATCTCAAAGACGAACCTGGCCAAGATTCAACGCGTGCTTAATCTCGCGTGTAGAATGGTTCTACCCATGTGGAAGACAACACCATTAGAGTTTCTTTGGAAGGAAGCGGGCATCCCGCCAGCGAGCGTCCTACTTCGACACATCCAAGAACGGGTGGCGGTCCGATACGCGACACTAGATAAAGCACATCCGATCAGCAAAAGGTTGCGACAATCACAAAGAGAAATCGAACTCAATGAGAAACCACTCATCGCGGAACGAATGGCCCTCCGGCACTCGAGGCTCCTTCGGACTGCATATCGCACCGCCAAAATCGAAAGACCGAGACTCATCCTGCAGAGGTTTTCCGGCAATGTACAAGTAGAAGGGGCCACAGAGAGGCAGACCAAAGAGAACGCTGTAGCAGAGTTCGAACATTGGCTTGCCAGCCGACCCGCAGGCTACGTAGTCTTCAGCGACGGCTCCAAAACGAATGCTGATACGGCAGGATACGGCTTCGCCGTTTTCCATGTTGGACAACTTCTGGACTGGTGTTCCGGACAGCTAGGACGACGAGAAGTATTCGACGCCGAGATACACGGCGCACTCGCAGGACTCAAAGCGGCTATGCAGCGGAACAGCCTCTGTGAGCCGATCACAGTCTGTATGGACAACACGTCCGTGATCGACTGCATTGGAACAACAGCGGCAGACTCTTCGCAGGACTGTTTCCGAGAATTCCAAAAGATTGGGGACAAGCACCCGTATCTAATCTCAGTCAAATGGTCCCCTGGCCACAACGGCATCTTTGGCAATAGTTGTAAATGTGATTCTTCAAGTGTACTTCTTCTCTGTCTAGAGAGATCAGATAGACGTCTTTATAGGTACAAGCAAGCTGCCTGCAGCTTGCTTTTGTTGCGTTGCAACACTACTGATACATTGTGATGTTTGATCCCTTGATATTTGCTTTTGGTAGCTTCAGCCTCTGTATCAGAGCTGCTTGACGTCACCTGCCGTTCAGAAACAACTGCAATGAACTGGCCGACCAACTCGCGAAGCATGGAGCCACACTTTCCGTCGACGAGCATCTGCCATCTGTCTCGTATAGAAAAAGACAGATGAAGAAGCAGGTAGCAGTAGACCACCGAGCCTGGTGGGCATCGGTTGAGAGAACGGAGTACCTCAAGCTTGGACTCAGTGCCGAGCTTAAGAAGCTCCCGGAACTCAGTCTCCCCCGCCGCTTGCTCGGCTATCTTCTGACAACACGATCACAACACGGCGACTTTGCGGAATACCATGAGAGATTCCACCCAGGACAGGCGACGCTGGAGTGCCC